TTGGGAGGGGAAATGTGTAAACAGGGAGCCAATGTTACCAAGGCAGAGTTAGCTTCACTACATGCTCCAGCTGTTTACATAGGTCGGGTTTGAACCGCCGTATGTAGGCTGCCTCCAGGTAGCGTAAGGTGCAAGTTGTTCGTGCTCGAACAAGTACTCGGAAAGACGTTTCGGGGTCAACAGAATGGCCCGTGTCTAGCGGATGTTCAGTAATCGATGACCGGGGAATTCTGTTTTCATGTTTCATTAACCAGCTAGGTAAATGTTCCTTAGCTCTGGTGGCCAATTGCCGTTGCTTTCGCCCTATGTACTTGCATCCGCAAGTGCATGTAAATTCGTAAACACAGTTTGAAGTGGCGTGCAACGGCAAGGCATCCTTCGCATGAGGACTTGCTAAAGGCTTCGTTGGATTGCAAATTATCAGATCGTCAGCATATTACGTCCTTTCAATGGCATTGAGAAGGCGTCTTTTGATGGTATTCAGTAAGTTATCGCCCTTAAAGGGCAAGGAAATGAAAACGGGCTTTTTTGGTGTGATACTCAGGCTGTGATTTGGTCAGGCTCTTTATCTGCCGTTATCAGAAGTCCTTGGAACTTCTGTCCGCGTCTCTGTTAACTTCTTATTATTTCCGCAAAGATGCGTAAAATAATCTTCAAATAATTTTCATCCTTATTTCTTGGTCATGAGGGTTAAGCTCCTCCGATGCTGTATTCTTATCCTACTTCTTTTTTGTTGTGTTCAAACTTTCCTCATGGATTAGAAAAAATATATATATTTACCTCAACTTATGCCCTGTATTATGTCTCCCACTGTCAGCATTCGAGCCAGAAAATGTCCAACCGAGGGGGAAAAATAGGTCAGATTTGTCTTTTCGACTTTTCATATCTTCGCCAGAAACTTCCCGGCACACTACCAACTAGTTGACATCGCTCTCCGCTCGCCGAATGCGACGGGAAATGACACGGTCGCTTTATTTGGATCTACTAGCACGCGAGTTTCTTTATCCAACAAGACCCAAATTCTTCAAGTTTCCTGTAAATGTCCTTTCACCTTAGATACTCTTTTCTTACACGATAGTTCCCTGAGCTTCAAAAATAAGGACCTAATTTAATCATCAGAGTCTCATGTTATGGGTCCCTGTTTCATCGCATTTATGAAAGTTTTCATTTTTCTCCTGAGCCAAAATGTCTAGAGAAGCAGAGATGATGATTTGTGCGTGAATTAGTTTATAGTCATAGTAGACTTACGCAAAAGGTATCGCACTCTAACCTCCCCCACCCACTTGAGGCCCTTGACAGTAGGGGGTTCCGAAAACGGGGCGGGATCGAGCACAGTGGCTGAGACTGCTAAAGAGCCCGTATGCGCCTCCAAGACCCATCTGCCCTTAGGTATGCAAGGACATCAACAAACACTCCAAGACAGATATGATGTTTTTAAAGTTACTATATTAGGTATTTGGAAAATTCTCATGGAACAGTCAAAAATTACTTCTTAGTGAATAGCCAAAAGGTTAATTTTACACTTTCCAAATCCATCCTTGCTTGCTTTACAGTTCCTGACTTGTATAATATCACCGCATAGTTAAAGAAAAGGCAAACGACCTTTCGATTTGACCGTACAGATGGCATCGTATACGTCCAAAAATTCACATGGATGGACATACCTCTATAAAATATAATTGCTTTGAAAAGGAACACATACCGCCTGCAGTCGGCCCGAGGATCTCAGGTAGGACAGCACCACTCTTGTCATGAGGACTGTTCAAAAGATCCCAGCTGAAGGCGGCATGTTAGTTGGCTTTAACGTTGATTCTTTTTTATGTAAACAAAGGAGGGATGCGTGCATGTGGGAGGGGGGGAGAGAGAGCTGGCTACTAGAAGTCCGTGGGGGAGAAAGGTCTGGCGAAGAGGACGCCCACAAAAAAGGTCAATTCACATGCGTAAGAGGCGCTAGTTCATACTCTCTCTTCTCCACGTCCTTCGAGTCTTCTTTTGCTGATTCGAGAGGCAAACGCAGTTAAGACTGCAAATCTGTTTTCAAAAATCAGTTTTGACTGCCTGCATCCAAAGAAGCAATTAATAACAGCTTAGTGGATGATGCCCACTGTTGTCAATAATCTGTGTCAGAAAAGTACCCGCCAAATTGTGTGAGAAATCGAGACACCACAGAGCCAGAAATTCCAATTCAGTTGTTGCGATTACTCCCCGAATGTGCATGCTCAGAGCTCTGCAATACTTTTCATACACGTTTTTCATTCTCATTGTCCACGAAGACTGTTTCAAATTACCGGACTCCGCAAGGATGATCTATCCTTTTAATGGCGTCAAAATAAAACTTGTTAGCCCATTTTATTGAAACCTGCCTTGAAATTCGCTGTTTATAAGAGCCGTAACCTGTCGGCTACATTAACTTGACTATGCCGTAATGGGAGTAGCGCAATATATACGTCTTAGTGGACCGCTGAAGAATGTTTATTGGCATGCCGAATACCACATAGACAATTAAAAATGGAAAAAGGGAAGCATAAAAAGTTGGGAGAAGCAAGATACGGACAGGCGAGGACACCACCGAGGATTGGGGCCCTCTAAACTACTATAAATATGAAACGTTATCGAAAAACACAGGTGAGGTACAAAGGACATTTTTGAGTTTTTTCGAACAAAGACTAAAAAAAGAAAGACGAGCCCTTACTGCACAATTAAGTTCCGAAGCACAAGTTAAGCCTCAAAACACTATAAGAGCTAAGGCTACGATGGTTATGGCCTTAACACCTACAATCTTCCAGACCCTGGTTCCTTAGGAGATT